TAATCTGAAGTGAATGGGACTCGATTCAAGGCAAACTTCGGCGGCAGATATTCCAAAAAGTCTCTTGCTCATTCGTCGATAGGATAAAATTTTTTCGTGTGCATTCGCCTTACGCATATTTCAGACTTTTTCCTCAGCATATGTGTGGGATGATGCGCAAATAATCTTGAGCTCTACTTTGTTTATCTTTGTGAAAATGTTTGGAAAACATTCACCCTCTGAATTATTTTGCAAATTGGATGATGGTTTTGATCATTCTTCCCTGATTCTTTCTGATTGTTCAGATCAGTAAATTGAGATGCAATGCACTGTTGAATCCTTTTAATTGTAATGTCGACTAACCAGATCCGAATCCAACTAGTAAACGAGCCACAAGCATGAGCCATTTGCGTTGGAAGGGTACTTCCGGTAGCACGGCGTATAAGGTATTACCCAATGCCATAATGAATAAGCCAAAACATGCAGGTTGTTTTGCTCGCATCGTTTTCTGATTCCAATATCCAAATACCCAACTTGCTATCATCTGTCCCAAACTGTATGCTGTATTGATCCATCCGAAGAAAGACATAGTGGCATCTGAATCGAGCTGAAATAAAACTAATGTTCATAATTTGATGACTTTCTCATTATCTATTCACCGAAATGAATGAGTTCAGGCAAAATAACTGCTAGTTACTTGAATGTTTTCATTGAATTTTTTGACATTCGCATTACTCAAAATAACTGAAGAGATATCTTCATTTATTGTTAGTTCTTTGGACGAATAAGCAATTTCGCATTCTGGAATAACAAGAAAACGAGTAGCAGCATCAAAATGCTGGTGAAACTTTCCGATATAGAGAACGGATTCGAGTCAATCTGATCATGTACTAAATCCCGATCAATTAGCTGTTTTGCTCCTTCAAATATTATATCGAAAGAAACCTGCGAAAAATATGGCCACATTGAGGTGAAATACATCGAGAATTGAACACCACTCAGCATCTGTACCAAATAACATAACCATATCGATTTCCACGAAGTCGCCCGATCTTCCAATTTTTGCGCCACACGTTTACTGCAACGGGAAACTATTTTCATCACGAGGAAGCGATAACCATCAAATATTGATGCGATAACATGTTCAACTAATTTTGAGTAACTTTATCCTATCGAACAATTAAATGTGTGTGTTCTTGAGAACGTCGTAGAAGGAGATCTGAAAACGTCCACATAAAATAAGCAATCGACGTTCAAGTACAGCCAAAAGGTTGTAGCATTCGACGTCTACCGACAGGATTCGCTCGCAATTTGCGTTTTACAGATCAATCGTTTTCCTTTTGCACTACGTAATCAGAAAATGTTCAGCTGTTGAAAGGAGCAGAAGATGAACACTACAACGATCGAAAAATAAGCTATAATTTCATTAATGGTACTCATTCTTAATGTAAATTCTTAAGAATAAAGAAAATTGGAACATATTATTAATTCGATTAGAAATAGAAACAAACTTACGTATCATCATTTTCAGAGTAGACTTTCATGGTGATCAATACGCATCGAAAGTGAGCGATTGATGCAATTCATGGAAATGATATGGAACAATTGTCATCAAGAAGTGAAAGTACTGATATAGCATAATCGCTGAATGAAATTCGATTGTGAATATGTAAATTGTGCTGAAAGTAAGTGGTCAATGAACACTCACAACAAATCATGCAGAAAAGATTATCGATCAGATAAATTCGTTGCTTTTAGTTGCTCAATAATATGCACGACAAACAGCGCGAATTGTATTAATTTTCTGAATACTAATAAATACTAAAACATGTATTGTAACTTCTGATTATTAAGTGTGAAATTACATAAACATATCCATGAGCTGATTGTTAGGGAAGCAAAAAATATTGAGTTTGCATTTTAAAAAGTTATGAGTGAAAACCATTGCCAAGGACTAATGCAAGCCAGTAATATTAAGAGTGATTATCATATACGAATGGAACTGGGTTAATGAAAAGTAGTAAACTGTTTCAATGTTTATTAGATGAGAATATAGTATATCTATCTGTATTCCACTGCGGAAAACATAGGAATTCGTGTTAGGATCGCTTATAAATCAACAATATTAAAGCAACAGCACACTAATCTCTAGATCACTACGATTCATTCAACCAATATGCCGAATGCTTCCAGGAATGGTTGTTAGCATGATATCAAAGGCTCGAAAAAGCTCA